GAAAAAAAGACTCAATAAAATATTACTGAGAAAATTTTATTCAATGATTTCGATATTCACTTTGGTTGTTCTTATTATTTCGAACACGTCTGTAAATCGCAGATGTTTTCTTGTAGAGCCGACCAATGGCATAAGGAAATAAATAAGTTCAGAGGCCTCTGAGGTATTTTCATTTTTACAAACTACGTGCATATATTTATGTACATATGTATAGTATATCTTCATTTATGTATGTATGTACATATGTGTATGTGTAGTATACATCATTAATGAGCTAATATTCCAAGAATCCGTCAATTAATGGGAAAAAACTACACACATACCTACAAACTGATATCTATAAATGTAAATAATTAATTAATCTTCGTATATACACTTTATCTACATACATATGTATGCATGTACATAGTTTGAACCTACATACAACCATATACATACATAAGTATGTACATCTACTTATGACAGACATCCCCTGTTATCCTTTACGTATGTATGTATTTGTATCAGCAAAGGGGTTTTCATGGAACATTTTTTAACACTTTGTCATCCTTAAAATAAAAATAAAAAATATTTCACAGAGTATTATCAAACAGTATGTACATACATACATACATAGTACATATGTAAAAGCTTTTTCAAAAAGAGTTTTTTAATTTAAAAAAAAACGGTTCTTTATTCCTGTGCAAGTACATTTGATGAAATTATGTATGGAACTCGATTTCTCTTGCATGGCCACCTTGGACACGCTTCTAGGTGCTGAACCCTATTTTCGACCACTTTCAAGCACAACTCGGCCGATACTGTTTCAATTTCACGTTTGATATTCGTACGAAGTTCATCAATCGTTGCTGGCAAATAGTCTAATGGCGTCATATCGCAAGACCAAGGCGGGCAGTTGACTGGGCCATTTCGTGAGATAACACGTTCACCAAACTTGGTTTTCACTAAATCGATCGTAACATTCGTCGTGTGGCTTGTTGGAACCAAATATTGTCAAAAACCATATCATCCAATTCGGGTCAAAAATATTCTGTTATCATTCAGTGGTAACGATTCCCCTTCGGTCTTCATCATCACGGAAGAAGTACGGCCCAATAACGCCGCCGGCCCATTAACGGCACCAAACAATGGTGACTCATAGCGTAGGTACGAATGTACTTTCAAAGAAATAAAGAATGTCTTTGATATTGTTTTATTTAAAAAAAACTTTTGTAGCGCTATTCTTGAAAAACCCGTTCTTAAAATTGAGGCCTTTGACTCCGAATTCCGGTAGTAAATCTTAATAGTTTCGACTTGTTGTTGGATCGGATATATCTCTCCAAGATGA